TACATATTGTATAATTCCATATTTCCAATTACTAATAAATAAATATAAACATACACATTTTATAAAATTATTAAAACATATATATGAAAAATGTTGAAACTTAATAATATTGCAAATTGCTGTAAGAATCATTGCTCACAATTCATAAACTTATAAAGTGACAATTTAATAATTAAAAAATTCATAGAAAAAAATAATTTTAGCTTCATTTTCTACTAAATATTTTATAATATAGTTAATTCAAATTGACTTACTTTCTTTATATTGGAGTACATTTAAGTGCTTTTCATGTATAACAACACATCGGTAACAATTTCTCCTGAAATATAATTAAGTTAAGTATGAAATCTTTTTATCAATATGTTAATATATTACTATTAATACTATTTTCACCATTAATACTACTGTTCTAAAAATTAGTTCAGAAAATGCATGAGCTATCAATAAAAAAATTAATAATGCAGGGATAGATTAATCAATTATTCCAAAAAAATTAAATAAAATAAAGCAGTTATGTTTGTGATATAATCCTCATAATCATACAGAAAGAAAATTTTAGGATTTACTTGGCACAGCTATTTCTACATGAGGTACAATTGATTATTCGTCCTAAGAAATAATAAATATTTTGAACAACCCTTATATCAAAATAACAAAAATGGAATTTAAATGAAGCTTAGCATATTTGATTAAGGTAAATGAATGCATTAAAACTTTGCCTTTATCAACAATTATACTCACTCATCTCGAAGTAGAAATTTGTCACCCTTGGATGATATGCATCGGCCTTTTGATGATAACAGTGATCGTTCTATTATAATTGATTGTTGAACCCCCGATTGAAACCATTGCCCATTCCAGTGTTCAGGAAAAAGACAGTAACCTGATAATGATTCGAAATTTTAGTAATAAATATTCGTGCGACCATACTCATATTAATAAGTCAATAATAAACTATAACATAAATATAATAAAAAATAACATAATTATATTACAAAATTTTTGGATTAATCTAAGAAAAAAATTTTATTGATTAAAGGAATTAAACAGATGTGAGTTTTAAACTATGTTATTATAAATCTTGTAATATATGTTTAATATTTTAATCTTAATTAACAATAAATCTATTTAAATGTATAAATCATTCTTACCCTCATCATTATGGCCGAATGTCATATCAAAGTTCAGCAGAACCAAAAATATTTCTATTATTAGTGCCGGCAAGTTAGTGTGCTGCAGGAAGCCTTTGATCAGTTTCATAATGATATCGTCTTTTATTTCATAAGCCAAAAGTCATATTCCAAATGTTATCATATTGAGTTTAATTACATATCAATGATGAATATTTTAATAAGCGACATTTTCAAGTAGATTGAAGAAATATTTAAATTATTTTGATCTTGAATATTTTTGTATGACTGGAAAATTTACTTATTTCATATATAGCATTTCTTTTTGGTAGATTTGTGCCTGAATATGTGAATCATAATGTCTGAAATATAGAAACAGAAAATAAGCAATTATGATATACAAATTGAAAAGATTAAATAATTAAAAACAACAGTATATAATAGTAATATAAACTATTCATCTCATCCTTTCTGTTCTTTGTTTTTGTTATGATTAATTTAAATTAATAAAAACCTGCCTTTAACAGTTTCTGATTATTTGATTGAACATTATATTGCATTTTTGCTTTCATTTTATGACTTTCATTTAAGCTACAAAATTTATGTCCTTCATGAAGAACAAATATTTTAGAACACCTTTCACTAATTTTGACATAAAAGTAAAATGAAAGATTAGTAAAGAAACAGTTCAAAATAACTTGGAAAACAATGTAGATAGATCAATATAAAAATATATATAATAGATCAAATATAGAACTTTTGGTTTTAGGTTTGCAAAGGATTCAGGAATGGGTAACGAAATACTATTAACAGGAATATAACTGCCCAAACTAGTGGATGAATTGTCACTCCGTTTAAAAATAAAATTGATTTTATTATGAAAATTGTTTACCAGGTTGAGCTGAATAAATTTTAACTGATCAGTTTAAGTATTATAATATAACTAACTAAAAAATAACAATAACATTTTCATTGATTGGACAATATCCATAACATATTATTTATATTTTAACAGTGTTTTCTAAAATAACATTCGAAGAAAAAGAACTCAAAATTGACCACAGTTTAAGCGAGCAGATATCATGCATTAGACATTAGAAATTTAAATCAATATATAAAATCTAATAATAAAACATTTAATTAATTGTTAAAGTAATATCATTCATCATTGAGGATATATCTTAATTTAAGCTCGCAGAATAAAGTGATAGAATTATGGTTGTTAATTATAATCACTATCAAAACTATGACTTACGCCCACCTTCGATCAGTTTCATAAAGAAAGATCTCCTTGAGTTATTATTCCTTTTATCCTTTCTATTTTAAAATTACATTTTAGTTGAATTTATTCGATTGTCATCCAGAGAGAATTAAAGTTTGTGGCAAGCTGTCACTGGCTCCATTATCAACAAAATCAATGTTTATATTAGTCCAGATAATATATAATTACATTTTCTTATTTGCATTTTATTTATTAGATAATCTAATACATTAACCAACGTCAAAATTTCTTCACAAATACATATTTATTAAGTTTTATTAACAAACAAATAGGACATCAGACACAAATTTCCACAGACTAACCAAGATTAAAAATACCACAGAGGGATTGCTTCACATTTTAAATGTTGAATTGACAAACACGAGTGAAAACGCGCCAAATTCGAATTTAAATATATTAATATAAATAATTTTTTAACATATGAACGTATGAACAAGTAAATAGACACTAAGATTTTAATATATATTTATAAATGCATCATAAATCTAAGTCATTAGTATGTTAAAGTTTCGAAGTTATTTTTTTAAAAAATTTCATATTTTATAAAAGATATTGTTCGCAGACAAATCGACAGGTTCGCAGACAAATGATAATAATTGATAATAATTACCTGTAAAACAAATGATAATAATTACCTGTATAGTAATGAAGGTACATATTAACAATTTAGTATACTAAACGACGAATTTATGTTTAAATATTTTTGAACCTTGCAACATTTTTCTGTTTATAATAATAAAACCTCCGTTTATGCTATTTAAGCTATGAAATAGATGGACGAAATATGTATATATATATATATATATATATATAACTATATATATACTTATATTATTTATATATTTGATTTGAATTGATTTCATATTTCCCGCTTCGGATTGTTTCTCATCTGTTTCTTATGTATACAAAGTACTACCGCAACTTGCATAGATGGCTCCACTGTCATATTATTATTAAATGTCATTTATTATTTCAAAAAAATATTAACATTTAGTTATTGTGATAAAAGTGTTGTTTTCTTAATATCCTAATTGCCCTCTTATTTTATACATAAAAACGAGTTAATATTTTTTCAGCAATCAATATTTTAGCAAATAAGAAGGTGATTATTTAAAATGTCAGTTTGCATTATTTAACTATGTTTATTGTTTACAATTACATGTAATGGAAAAGTCTTATTATGGTGTCAGAATTATACTATATTAAATTATTAGTGTGTTACAGAACTGTAATAAAACCAAAGTAGATTATAAAAGGATAAGTGTAATTATATCTCAATATACAACTATTTAAATAGAAAAAAAAAACGGTAAGAATTCTAATACGTGAATTGTTATTTTGAATGTATTTGTATAAACATATTATAGGCTCAAATATATGCTCATTTATTCTATTAATGAATAATTACAAATATATACACAATTACTAATTATATTCCTCAAAGAAGAAATTTTTTTTTATCAATGAGTTTACAACATATTTATCACTTTAAATGGCTGCATATTAATTTGATATTGGGGTACGATTGGATAGCTAATAGTAATAGTCTTTATTTTCTACTAATATATTATCTTGAATTATCTAATGTATTTTATTTTGAATAAAAAGAATAAACAGAATAATGCTTTAAACTTCTCGAAGAAAAAGTTTATGTTTTGGCCAGATTTTTAAAATTTTTATTATATATATAATGATTAAATTATTTATAGAATATAACTGACGTTTTTGTCAACTTTGTACAAGGTCTCTATATTTGGAACGGCTAGATCTGTCTTCGCCAAAAACTAATCAGCAGGTCTCCTTATAAGAATGGAATGTTTTTTGAATTATTCAAATCAGTTGATTGGTGTTCCCGAAATCGTCGACGAAAATTTGTATAAGCGCGAGGTATGCCAAAATGTTCAGAAACTTTTGAAACGTAAAGATATACAAGAAACAGTTATTATTAAAATAAGTCAAACGTGAAAACTTACTTTTGACTCCTTAAAAGGATGCGATCTACAGATCATGTTAATGTAGGAGCTTGACTCAATGCAATAATCATTATTGAATAATGGCAACTTGTTCGTTCAAACATACTTCATCTTTCTCTATTTGGATCCTTTTATTTCTTCTATTTCACCCTCGACGACGTCGTGCAGGAGGCACTCTTTTTGCAGAAGAGGTCCGATCCAGTTTTCTTTACTTCTCATTTCTAAACATATTCCAAATTTTCTCAAATTTATCAAATCTCAAATTCTCAAATTAATTTATTTTTTTCATTATATTAAATTATATTCATCAAGGAAGAAATCAATCTGTTTTGATAGAAATATGAGTTATGGCTAAACCTGTATGAAAACTATTTAAAATAACTGTATACAAGTAAATTTATTTATTAACTAATAGTTTGATATTGATAAATCATTATTGACGTACGACTTGCTAGCTAATTTTTTCCATAATAACAAATATTATTATTTTATTATGCTATATCTAAATATACAAATACTAAAATACATCTTATTATTTGGTAAATGCTGACTGTAATGATTTTATTTTATTACGTGTAGATAAGAAGTATATTACATTTTTTAGAGTATCTTTAATTAATATGATTGCATTTCAGATGACGTATCCACAGCAGAATACAATTCCATGTTTCGTTTGATAACGTCCATGCAAGGACCTAGTAATCGCTCGAATGTTGCCTTATCCAAAAATGCTAATTTGACATTTTGTATTGCAAAGACCGAGGCTGCTCTGGGTTTGTGTTCGATTAGAGCCATTTCCCCAAAGTATCCTCCTTTGCCGACACGATTTACTTCCATTTTCTGGCCACTTGCATTAGTAATTAAGATATTTACCATTCCTTCCTGAACGAAGTACATTCCATCTGCTGCGTCTCCTTCGTTGATGATACATTCTCCTGGTCCGAAGGATCTGGTCACCAGGGCGTCTGCTAAATTCATCCTTTCGTAGGCTTGAAGGTTGCTGAGCATTGGAACGGAGTCGATAAGTGTTTCAAAGATCTTTCGTTTCTTAAATGCAGCATTTAGTACTATTCTGCGGAAAGTGAGACGGTCCATTGCCCACAAACAGCCGTCCGAAAGAGCGGTTACGGTGGCTGCTCTGGGAACGTTGTACAACAGGGCCAGTTCTCCAAAACTACCTTCACCTTCGTAGGTATATACTGGGGTATCGACATCATCAACAAGTACCGAAGCTCTGAATATACCTTTAACATTTAAATTATATTAATTACTACATATAATTGTTGACTTATAAAATACTAATATGGTCTAGGGGTAATGTTTTCCTGATCCTAGTATGCACCTGGACAATAAGCTAATTATATATGTATACACACACATATATATATATATATATATATATATATATATATATATATATATTATTTGAAATATCACAGTTTTTTTCTCTTTTATTTACAACTGTCCAGTTAAGGACATTTAATAAATTTGAGGAATTTACAATAGTCGGCAGTAAAGGGACATTGTATACTATAGGGGCATGTTGGAAAAATAACTCTGTAGTTGTTTTCCCATTCGGAAATATCACAGTATTGTGAAAAACAAAATTATTCATGTTATCAATTATTGGACTGAATTACGACAAATGCAATTTATACGACTTTTTGCCTTTGCTTTAAAGCAAGTATCTCTAAATTTTCTGCAATGCAAATAATTGACATTATCAGAAAGAATAGAGATTAAACTCTTTATACACAAATTTCAGCTGCTTATTCTGGAAAATAAACTTTTTGCCGAAAACTAATTAATACGATTCCCAATAGATATTTATCTGATATATCTGTAATTGTATTAATTATAGTGCATTAAATTGATTGTTTGTCACTTGTTGTAGGCCCATAATATTTTGGGATATTCGTTTACACCATAAATTTTATTTTTATAAAAAGTTTCATTAAAATCGACAAAAAACTTGTTTAAAAATTTAAATTATTGAAAATAAATTACAATAGTAGCAACATATTTTAAGGGTAGTGTATTTAAAGAAATAAGTGTTATCCCAGCTGTTATCAAGGATATTTGAAAAGTTTAGAAACCTAAAGCTAAGATTTTTTATTAACTTCCCGTAGGGTAAGTTATAGTCATAGTAAAATCGAAAATGAAAATTTTTATGTATCTTAACCGCTAGATTTGCCTTCATGAAAATTCTTGTTAATACAAGTAAAATGTTTTTTGAATTGTTCGGACGCTCCGTTCTCTTAAAAACTAAGTTACCGTTTTTGTCACTTTTGCCCCATATCTTCGGAACGTCTCCTTATTAATACAAATCGAATGTTTTTTGAATTATTCAAATCGGTTCATCGGTGTTTCCAAAATCATCGACGAAAATTTGTATCCGCACACACACACATATACGCACACACACACATACACACACACATACACACACACATACATCCATTTTTTCTAAGGTATGCCAAAATGTTCAGAAACCTCTAAAACGTAAAGATATATAAAAATTTTCATTTTCAATTTTTTTGCGATTACTATAACTTGCCCTACGGGAAGTTAAAGAACAAATCGAATATTTTCAAAAATTTCCAAATTCTCATAATATTTAGAAAAACGATTTTTTTAAATTTCCAAAAATTTGAATATTTTGAAAAAATTTCAAAAAAATCAAATTTAAAAAAATAGACTCTTGTAAACGCACACATAAATTGTTCATAAAATTCGCTCGTCGCCCAATTTAAAAAACACTTTAAGTATACAGTATGTAATAAATAATCTGTTTGAAATTATTCAAAACAATTATTGATTATTTTCATTCCTCGATTGTTTAATTACGGTACGGAATTGGACGCCCCACTAGTTTTTTTGACATATCACAAAAGAAAATATTTAATAGTTATAAAAAGAAAAACATTAATAAAATAATAACCTTTTTCGATGACGTAGAAATTATCACCATCGTCTCCTTGTCGAATAACAACCTCGCCAGCGTATACCTTCTTTTCGAACATTGCGTCCAAAACTTCGAGCTGTTGTTGCTCATCAAGAGCTCGAAAAATAAGAATATTCTTGATACATTCGCTCAAAAGTTGTCGTTGTTCGTCGGTTTTTGGGTAGATCACTTTAACATCGTCGTCATCTGCAACTTCTGGATCTATGGCTTCCGCAAAAACGCTCTTGCGCCTGACCCTCGGCGGCGGCGTAATGGTAGGCTCTAGGGTCTCTTCCTCCTCTTTTTCTTCTTCCATTTGACTAATGATCATTAGCTCCTCAGCTGCTAAAAAGTCGGCTTCGATAGCTTCCCTTTTAGCTATGAAAAATTCTAATATGAAATCAATTGTGTCTTTTGGTTTTTGACGGAAATATTCAGTGACGAGTTCGATCAATAAAATTTCAACTTCTTTTGGCATCACCAACTTTTGACCGGAACGACTAAATGGGGGTTTCTGAGCAAACATTGCTAACCAAATTTGAAACTTGTCCTGCCGAAAATTTAAGTTTTTGTGTTTTTTTTACAGATAATTTGTTTTTTATAAAAAAAATAACATTCTTTTGTTTTTATTTATACATAAATGATTATTTGGATGTCATCGATTCATCATTGTTTAAATAACCTTGCGATCTAGCTTCATGCAATGAATATACATTATTAACTTCCCGTAGGGCAAGTTATAGTAATCGCAAAAAAATCGAAAATGAAAATTTTTATGTATATTTACGTTTCAGAGGTTTCTGAACATTTTGGCATACCTTAGAAAAAATGGATGTATGTGTGTGTGTGTATGTGTGTGTATGTATGTACGTGTGTGTATGTATGTGCGGATACAAATTTTCGTCGACAATTTCGGGAACACGGATCAACCGATTTGAATAATTCAAAAAACATTCGATTCGCATTGATAAGGAGACGTGCTGATTAGTTTTTGGCGAAGGCAGGTCAAGCCGTTCCGAAGATACGGGGCAAAAAGTGCCGAAAACGGTAACTCAGTTTTTAAGAGAACGGAGCGTTTGATTTGAATATTTCAAAAAACATTTCACTTGTATTGACAAGATGAAGAATCGATAAAATTTTCATGATAGTAGGTCTAGCGGTTTCGGACATATGGAGGAAAAAGTAAAAAAATGAGCCATTTGGCGGTCAAAAATGATCATTAGACATATGCACATCAAATTATCAGATATTTTATAGAGATTTTAACAATCAGTATACATTTTGTTAACATTCCTATGGGTTCCGTACCAATGCTTATGCGTTAGACAGCGACGCGGCGCTTACGCGCTTTATATTTTGTCCCTATGCGTTAAAGTAGTACGATTGCTTTGAAAAAAAAGTTCAGATCTTCCACAATATGTCAAAATAAAGAAAAAAAAAATTTTTCAAAAAAAAAAAAAAAAAAAAAAAAATTTTTTTTTTTATTTATAGTTTCTCAAAAATCTTATTTTTTCAAGGTAAATTTTTTTCAAAATTTTAATCGTTTTTAAAAAAATAATAATATTTGGTACGGGAAGTTCCAGCAATTTGCCTTAAGGCACGATGCCTTAATTGCCTTAAGACAGAATTCCACTTACAGCTAGTATTCTCATATTGTCTAGGATAAAATGTATGTGTGGTTCACATACATTTCTAAGATCTAGTTCTAAATATAAAATCATATTTTGCAAGTCTATTTAAAATACTATTCAATAAACTGATATCTCAAATTTTGGGCAGAAAACTTATAATATGATAACGATATTTAAGTATTTACATATAATATGTAAATGCAATACATTTATTTTTTAACCTTCCGTAGGGTGAGTTATAGTAATCTCAAAAAAATCGAAAATGAAAATTTCTATGTGTATTTACGTTTCAAAGGATTCTAAACATTTTGGCATGCCTTAGAAAAAATTAATGCGTGTGTGTATGTGTGTGCGGATACAATTTTTCGTCTACGATTTCTAGAACACGGATCAACGAATTTGAATGATTCAAAAAAACATTCGATTCCTATTAATAAGGAGAAGTGCTGATTAATTTTTGGCAAATGCAGATTCAACCGTTCCCAAGATAGGGGCAAAAAGAACCAAAAATGGTAATTCCAAAAAAAATCAAAATTTCCAAAATATTTCAAAGAAAATTTTTATAAAAGGTAATTTCTCTTTTTCATAAATTTTAAAAATCTCAAAAATCAATTTTTTCAGAGTTCTGAAAGAAAATTGAATCTTTTTTAGAAAAAAATATTTTTGGTACGGGAAAATCCAGCAATTTGCCTTAAGGCACGATGCCATGCACCACTAGTTAAATTAATTTTTTTGAATAGTAAATTGTTGAAAAACATTGCTTTACCTTTGGCTAAAATGACTATTATATATCTGCTTTTGGATTTCGACAGATCCTCTTAAGTTTTCAACGTGAACCATATAAAGTCTATATACAAAGTACGCTTGTATGAATCTATGTGCACGCACTTGGTCATTTGTTTATAAGTGCTCGTGTTGCAGATGTATAGCAGCCACTACAATTCTACAGTAAATTGGATGCATGTTTAGTCAAGTTTGTAAACATTCCGGGATATAAATAAAGCAACCTATGGATCGTTCCACACTAAAAATACTGTGTCGGATGTTCACGATTTCATTGTTACGATACTACTTGATTGAATTACATTAATTCAGATAATTATTGGCATCATTGTTAGTTAAACAGTAACAGATGACAATCAGCAACGTTTGATAATTGCCTGGTAATTCCAAATCTATGCCATATGAAATAATGTAAAAACCGATTTCTGGGTATTTAACGCCATAAAATTATCCATTTCACCCAAGAACTCTTTCTCAGCAAGAACAGATGTTTTAATAATACTTCTCATACTATTCCATTCTTTCGTTCTTTTCCATTTTTATTGTGAATCTCCATTGAGGGGCCGAATCCGCCGTAAAATAGATCAACGTTATGGCAAGACTTTGTTACGTAGCAGTTTTCATACAAAATGGTATTAAATACTGTCAAAATGCCATGTATTTGCAGTGCGATCGGGTGCTTCACATATAAAATGCAACTTCACTCATATGTTATTATGCCACAACACAAAGTAGTTATGATAACATACATCTTTTTTTGACATTTGTGCTTTTTCTAGTTTACACTTTTACATAATATAGCCTCGCCATAACATTGGTCTATTATACGTCAAATCGGTCTTTGAAGTTTCAGAAACAAAGCTTTCTTTATGGACAACTATATGACTTTTTACATGAATTACAATCTGTCTATTTAATGAAGACATTTAGTAATTATTCTATTAGATAACCTAATTTTTGGCCATTCTACTTGTGATAACTTTTAAGTTCTTTTGAGTACTAAAGAATTTATTAGCTTATGTTTTAAAGTTTTTAGTAACCTTTATCGTAGAAGTAAAAAATAGCTTTTCATCTATTTTGAATTGAAACCATATTTTCGATCAATATCTTGACAACTCACTTGTGTTATTTTCCTCGAATTATACCAATGTGTAACACAGTTATACTGTAAACAATAATAATAATAACATAAATACACAAAATTTTACATAATGTTTAATCTCACTATTTTTTATTGCTTTAAGGGGGTACTTTAGTGTAGAAAATCAAAAAATAGTTTTTTTCGATATTTCCAAAGTTTAACTATTTAAGAATATGTGCACGAGAGAATTTTTGAAAATTTAAATTATTTTCAGAGATTCAGCTATTTGAACATATATTCCTTTCTTTTGAGAATCTTTAAACGCGTTTTTTTTCAAAACTGCCTTTTATTATGATGCTCGCAATTTCTCGATTTCCACTGGACCTGGACTTATTTGAAATTTTTGGTGAATCTCTTTTCCAAATAATATTACAGTACAGTTCAATTTTTTATAAATTTATAATAAATCTGCTTGTATTTTCAATTTGGAGTATTGATTATTGTATTCCAGTTAATTTTTTATAATTTAATTTTGAACTTACTTTTATTGTCTATTAGAATTATTGAGTATGTTAAACTCATTAGTGTGTCTATACCGCAAAACTTATAGTTATATTATTTTTTACTATTTGTATTTTACTTAAATAGTCAATATCTAAATTATTATGCATTACATTATTTCCAAGCACAATACTTATAGCATTTAAAAACGAAAGGAATAAAACAAACATCTCACAATAATTTGTACAATTTCTGTTGTACCTTTATATTTAGTAAATGCTATTTTTTAGATTTTAATTCCTATAGAACAAATGTTAAAAATTTTTAATTCCTATAGAACAAACGTTAGTTTGAAGTGTGGTACTTTTATTCGTGAGCCTTGGAACAATTCATGTTGCGCTCTGAACAAATAATTTAAAGTTGCAAGTGGCATTTTTCCGAAAGCTTATGCAACTTTCCTTATCATTAGTGCAAAATGCTACTTACACTTTATACTTGTTCATCTATGGCTACCTTACAACTAGTTTTATCAGCAATCAGAACCCTAAAAGCAAAGATGATTAAGACTGAATGAAGTTATTAGAATAACTCTAATACTGATGATTTTTATTGGATGAAGCAACGTCCATGAAATTGTTAGTATTTTACGTAAACCTTCTGAATAATTCCATATAAAATTTTATTGGCAATATATAATATTTTCTTATTTTTACTTAAATATTCGATTTTAACAATTTTAGTTAAATATTGCAATGATGGCCTCAATATGAATATATTATTCTATTTGGATTGAATTGGATTAAAAAAATATGTATTTACTTTCAATTTTGACAAAAAAAAAAATCCATATCGAAGAGTTTTCAATAAATCACACAGTTTCTAATTCTAAACTTGAATCTAATTTTATATGTTTTAGTAATGACAAAATTTAGCTTATACTTTATTATAGGTACTAGAGATGGGCTTATCATATCCGAAGCCGGATCGACTCAGATTTGACTCCGCTTTAGGGAGGAGTTATATCCGCTAAACAAATCCACGACTCCGACAACTTTGAAACCGAAATACTCGACACAAATGTGTTTTATAGTGCGTTGTTTATGCATCTAAGGATTTGTCAAATCCCATTTAATTTTTTCAAATGAAAATGTTTGAATAAAATAAAATAAAAAAATATCAATAAAATAATTTTTCTAAAAAATTCACAAATAAATGACGAGTTGTAAAATTTTTCGGTCGACCACATGATCGACTCAATGACTCGTAATTTTATCAGCGTTGACCAAAGTAAACACGCAAAACTTAAGAATCAAATTCAATTTAATTATTTTCTTTTGATGAGAAAATAATAGATTTTTTGGATTAATTTTATATAAAAAGAATGTAGTAAACTTTGTAAAAAAAAGCAAAACATTTATCATAAAATATTTTCACCAAATAATAATACTTCTGCTTTCTAATTTTTTCTTCTGCTATTTCCATTAGGGAATTAATATTATTATATATCGGATAGTTCGATTAGCATATTAT